CTTGGAGGGAGCGGGGGTGCGGGGTGTGGAAGGGGCAGCTGCTCACCAGGCTGAACTCGTCCAGCAGCTGCGCAACTGCTGCGTTGAGCGCGCGGAAGCGCGGCGCGGTGGACTCTGCTAGCCTGGGGTCGAGAGAGTGTGTGTGTATGTATGTGTACATGAATGTGTGTGTTGATGCCTGTTTTCAGCAAATATGTGACTGTGTTTGTTTGTTGGCGTGTGTGTGTGCATGCAAGTGTACATGCATGCGTTGGCACACAGGAACACACACACACACACACTCACACACACACACACAAACACAAATACACACAACCATGCACGCGTGCGCACCCCATTGTGCCCCACCCCACCTGGTCCTCAGCAGCGCTGGGTCTGGGATCAAAAACTCCTCCACCGCTCTCCGGTCCTCACACCTGCCGAGTCCAATGACGATGCAAAACCGCCTCGCAAACGGCCCCTTGCTAGAAAGCAGCCAATGCATCATACCCCATTCAGGGGCCGTCCGCGACACAGCGCGAGCGGGATCGCCCAGTCTAGCAGCGCGGCGGCGCGCTGTGCGGGAAGTTGCAGGAATGGGCCCGCGGCAGGCTCAAGCATGAGAGGGTGCGCCCCGCCCAACTCGGCTCTGAAGACAAGATAAGCGGGGCGCTGGCCCACGGCGGTTGGCCTGCTGCCCGCACTCACAAGTCCATTTTAGTCAGCAGGTTGATGTGGGGCAGCTCCAGCTTCACCATAGCTGCCAGCGCCTGCGGGGGGCGTTCGGGCGGGGGATGCTGAGGGGATGCGCAAGCCGGGGTGGAGGACAGCCTGGTCGGCCTCGCTCGAGGGCGCTCGACCGCCGGCGCGCGCCGCAGCTGCGCCGCAACGGCCGCCCCTCGCGGCTATCCCGGGCGCTGGCTGCGCGCGCGCCTGCGTGGGGGCCTGCTTGGGTCGCCGCGGCAGGGGTAGGGCGGTGGCGAGCGTCTGCTGATAAGCTCTGGACAGCAGAACGCTGTTCTGACACGCTCCTGGGTCCCGGCCTCCCTTGCAATGACAAGACACACACACACACACACACACACACACGCACACGCACACACACACGCACACACACGCACACACACCCACACATATACACACACACACACGCACCTGCATGGCCCCCGCAATGTACTTGGGTGCCTCAGTGATGAAATGGCAGTCCAGGCAGTACACCGCGCACACAGACCAGCCGTCTGCCTTCAGGAAGTCCACGAGTGATCTGAAGGCGCTGACGTGGCTGTACAGCTCGATCTGGCCTGGGGAGATCCAGGGTTTAGGAGGGGGGCCCGTCCGGCGGACGGCGCAACAAACCTGATTGAATGGGGCGGTGGTGCCCCGATTTGCAACCGACAGCTGTACGGTGCGAATGTTGAGTATCTGCAATGTTTCTTTGTCCACCCAAAATATGGGTCGCCGCACTCGCCTCGGCGGTCCGGCGCAGGCGCAACTCAATACGACTCACCGGGGCAGTCCATGACTCACCGGGGCAGTCCAGCACGAGGTAGTCCTCGTCCCCGTACCCCCCCAGCTCCTCCCCAAGCCAGTCATCCAGGTGGTCCTCCATGTACTCCATGGCAGCCAGCAGGGCGCTGTTTGCGCACCATCCCAAAGTCCATGCCATTTGCAGGGGCCAGGGGGGTGGGGTTGGGGGGCTCAGGTGAGGGCAGCATTACATTCCATGCTTGCTGGGTGGCAGCCTCCCACGCACGTCTGAGGCTCGGCGCTTGATTTGGGGGGCAGGCGTCGGTCGAAGGGCAGGCCATGGCTGATTTCCAGAGGCCTGAAAAGCACGCGTGTAGAGTGCCCTCTGCCTGCGGCCGCTGTGCAGGCCGCCGTAGCGACGCTCCAGGGTCGAACACGTCCCAAAGCCGCCCAACCGCGCCCACTTTCCTACAATAAGCGCATTCGCGACCCAGCCCCCGCTTGCTTTGCCTCCTCACACGCCCCTACCTGCCACCCCTAAGCCACTCAGGCAAACGCAGCCGTCACTCGGACGGACTGTTTGGTCACAAAGCAAGGGCTGTGTAGCAACCAAGGATTGGCTGTGCAGCCACAAAGGGATGCGTGGGCACCGGCGCGGCGCTCCACCCACCCGTTTGGCCCCAGCCCCATCTCCTCCATCACATCCTCCAGGCTGACTAGATCGCGGATGTCAATGGAAATCGGGTAGCCAAACGCCTCCGCCGCTGGGTCTGCGCGCGAGATCGAGGTTGTTTCGGGGCCAAGGATGGGGCGGGGCTGGGTTGGTGGGGCGCTCAGCGGGCGGTTGCGACCAGGGGCGGCGCAAGGGACGCGAGGGAGGTGTGAAACCGTGGGGGCAGCCAGGCGGGCCGCGCTTTGGACGGAATCAGTGGGGAACGGCGATGCCCTGCGAGTGAGGCGGAGGGGCCGCGGGCCGCCGGTGCGGCGGGGGCGTTTGAGGGAGGGCGGCCGCCGGCCGGGGTGCCGCGCGGCAGCGGAAGCTTCCGTGACGCTGCCTGTCAGCACTCACCTAGGTTGACGCAGTGGATGGGGCGCCCGATGGCCTGGCAATGGTTCCAGAGGTGCTCGCAGTATGTCGACTGAACCGAAGCGTTGGGGCATGGAACGGGACGGGGCGTGGCGTCGCGCGCGGTGCGAGTTGACGGAGGGTGACGCCACCGCTCAGAAATCGTGGGACAGTCGGGCGTGCGAGCCACGGCCACTGGCCAGCCTGCCTGTTTAAGCGGCAGCTGATTATCGGGTAGCCCCGCTGGCCCCGGTAACGCGGGGGCGCAGCCAAGCTGCCCCGGTCACTCAGTCCCGCTGCTGCGACTGCCACCGGCCGCGCTGCCGGCCACAGCGCGACGCCCGTGGACGCCGTGGCATTCAAAGCGTGCGCACCTTGCCGCAGCCTGCGGGGCCGATCACCAGCTGAGCGTACTTGCCCATGCCTCCCGCCACACCAGCCGCCGCGGCAGCAGCTGCCGGTGTTTTGTGCTGCTGCTGCTACTGCTGCTGCTACTGCTGCTGCTGCTGCTGCTGCTGCTGCTGCTGCCACCAGCCGCGGCTCCTGTTGCTGCAGCGCGCTGCAAAGCAGCGTGCTGCTGCTTTGGCGTTCGCCCTGGCTAGCCTGTGGGCTAACCTAGAAGCGTCTGCGGGCACGTTTTTTTCCTAGGGCTGGTCCTTCCGCGGCACGCGTCTATGGTGCTGCTGCGGAGATGCCTGATGAAAGTGCCCTGGCACACCTGCGTCACCGCAAGCGCTGCTGGAGCCGCCGACAAGCTGGCTGGGTGCACACTTTGCTGTGGGCTTGATTTGAGGAGCTATGGGTCAAATCAAGTCCCAAGCGACAGATTGCGGGCCGGAGGTGGTGGTTCGCAGGTGTGCTTGACACGGGACGTGCGCACTGACGACCGCACGCGCAGCAAGTGCCGTTTTTGCAGCGGCGGTGTGTCCGTTGTGTCGATCGTCAACGTTGCCACATCATAGATACAGAGGAAGGGCGTTTGTGTTTGTTTTCAGGATTTTGAAAAGGCGTACAGCACCGCTGCTCGACTGCTGCTCGGCACCCCTCGCGTCCCTTTCATTTGGTTCCGAGTCTGCACGATCACACACATCACATTCAACGTACACGTCTACATATTAGAACATAGGCTTGCGCGAGCGCACAAAACGTGATCTGGTCGCTTTCGTGCCTCACCACACTCTCTGTAGGGCAGGCCAGTGCGCTCAGAACGCCGGTGGCTGCCATGGCGGCAGCAGCCGTGCTGCCCGCGGGCAAGGTGCTGAGCACCATGGACGTGGACGCTCAACCTAGCACTTCGGCAGAACAGGAGGACCTGTACACGCGTCTCAAGACGCTGCAGCGGCAGCTAGAGTTTCTGGAGATACAGGTGCGCTTCCTAGGCGATCCATGGGGGCGTGAGAAGCACGGGATGGGGCGTATGCAGGGGTCGAGCAGCTCGGGATACTCGCCGATCGCTCCTTTCTCCCTGTTTGCAGGAGGAGTACATCAAGGAGGAGCAGAAGAACCTTAAGCGCGAGCTGCTGCGGGCTCAGGAGGAGGTGAAGCGGATACAGTCGGTGCCGCTGGTGATCGGGCAGTTCTTGGAGATGGTGGACGCCAACACAGGCATCGTCGGCTCCACAACGGGCTCCAACTATCACGTGCGCATCCTGAGCACGCTCAACCGCGAGCTGCTCAAGCCCAGCGCGTCGGTGGCGCTGCACCGGCACAGCAACGCGCTCGTCGACATTCTGCCGCCTGAGGCGGACAGCAGCATCTCCCTGCTGGGCGACAATGAGAAGCCCAGCATCACATACCAGGTGCGGCGCTAGCACGGCCCGCGCGGCCGGGCATGCAGCTGGCCGGCCGCTGCGGTTGGCTTCGGTTACGAGCGCGTCTGGCGCCCCGTGCAACTGAACGCCCTGCGTGCAGCCGCAAGCGCGCATGCATCGGCACCGCTGCCGCGTGCACCCTCGTCCGACCACCATGCTGCAGCCGCATGCCGCCCGGCGCCGCAGCTGGGCACACGGGGCCTGCACCCTTCACCCTGAGGCGCATGCGTGCACCCACTCCACCATCATGCCACCCCCACCCCTTGCGACGTTGACAAATCGACAGGACATCGGCGGCTATGACATTCAGAAGCAGGAGATCCGGGAGGCCGTGGAGCTGCCGCTGACGCAGGGCGACCTTTACAGGCAGCTGGGCATTGACCCGCCAAGGTGGGTGGCCCGGGACGTGTGGTCCAAAAAATTTGGGATGGGGGCGAGGGGGTGTGCCGCGGGGGTCGTCGGCTTAGGTGTGTGAGCGGTCGGTCGGTGGTGGCGAATGGTTGCTCATGGTGATTGGGATGCTGCAGTGGTATTGATGGTGTTTGATTATCAATTGTTTTCTTGGGGAGGGGTGCCAAAGTGTGGTAACCAAGGTGCCATTGTGCCGCGAGCGCTGCTGGGGTGGGCTTATGTGGTGCGCACCGCCAAGGCTGGGCTGGCGTCGCCTCCGATGTGTGCGCATCTTTGCTGGAGTCTCGCGCACGAGCGGCGACGATGGCAGAGAGGGACACGATGCGGCGGCGCTCGGGCCCGCGGCAGCGCCCAGGGGTGCACGTATTTGCGGCGCGCAAGGGGCGCTGCGGCGCGTTGGGGCCGCTGCGGGCGGCCGGGGGCCCCGCACAGCACGCCCGCCTCTGACCCTAGCGGGTTCGAGCAACGGTTGGGGGACAGCCAGCGCCGGCGCGCTGGCGCATGTGCGCGGGCGGGCGGCGCGTGGGGCCCTCTCCCAGACCCAAACGCCCCGCGGCGCGCCTCCGCAACTTGCAGCCTGCCGTGCGCCGCTGAAACCCTGGAGTCTTCATCATTTGAAAAATCGATTTCGAGACCATCGCCGTCCAGGGGCCTGCCGCCATCACCGCCAGTTGTGGCGGTCTCGGGTGCACGATGCTCCTCGCACACCCACCACCCCCTCCGCCTTTGCCCGCCCC